AAAAAGATCTAATTAATTTGAACAAGACCAATTCATTACTTTGATATATATATTTTCAAATTGATTCTTTCTGACCATAAATGATGCACTAAATATTGAAGTTGATTTGCCTGTCTTCATATTTAGAAATTTGTCCATTGTAAAAGGTTTTTCATTTTAAAAAAACTTCACTTTATCAGCCTATAATTTTATGTTTTGTCAGATTACACAGATGTGCTAGGTAGTTGGATATCATGTTTATTGTATTTAGTAAAGTCATGATCACTTCTAGCATTTTATGGTAACATCCTTTGCATGTAACTTTCTTAAATTTAATCTTTACCATTCTAAAATTCTTGAGTGAACTTGTCCATCTTTCAAGCTAGACAAAACTATTAATCATTTTAAAATGAAATTTTGTAATTTTGACTGACCGATTAGTAAACAGTGCAGACCATGATCAGACAGCATGGAGACTGATCTTGGTCTGCACTGGTTGCATTGGTAGATTTAATCGCCGCTAGCAGGAATATTGCTTTTGTTTTTATTTTAGCAACTAGTGAAGCAGATGAATAAAGCATTATTATATGTTATCTAAATTTTGGTTTATTCAAAAAGTACTTACTTTGATTTCTTTACACAGACCTGTCAGCAACTGATACAGATTACCCCATGTTCTAGTCATGCACTTTACCTGCTTGGTGCCTCACAGTTTGCTCGTTTTGAGAACACGCCCCCAGGTGATGAAGGTGCCAAGCTTCTTAGTGATGTAAAATCATCATTCCAAACATCTATTAACCTAGAGGGAAAACCAGCATCAGGGGATGTTTCAGACACAATTAAAAGTAAGACCAGAAAAGAACTGGTAGAATTTTTATCTTGTATTTGTTTTACAACACATGCAAATTAATTCCACAAGGACATTGTTACTTTAAGCTTGACTTATTGAAGAATATGGAGAGCAACTGGTATTGTTCTCACCTAGGTGTCACACTTTGTTTTTGTGTGCAAGGTGGAATCTTAAAAACTACTGAAGGGAATGGGTTGAAACTTCACACACTTGTTCTCTGTGATTATCTTACATTATGAACATAGGTCCCATAACTCTCGGTTACCTTTTTAGCTCGACTTTTCGCAGAATAATCGAGCTAATGCAGTCACCCATTTGTCGGTGTCGGCGTCCCTTTGGTTAAGTTTTTGCGTGTAAGCTGGTATCTCCATAACTACTGAAGGGAATGGATTGAAACTTCACACACTTGTTCTCTGTGATTATTTAAGATGATTGGCACAAGTCCCATAACTCTGATTTGCTTTTTTACATAATTATGCCCCTTTTTCAACTAAGAAATTCTTGGTTAAGTTTTTGCGTGTAAGCTGGTATCTCCATAACTACTAAAGGGAATGGATTGAAATTTCACACACCTGTCCTCTGTGATTATCTTAGATGATTGGCACAAGTCCCATAACTCTGGTTTGCTTTTTTACATAATTATGCCCCTTTTTCAACTAAGAAATTCTTGGTTAAGTTTTTGCGTGTAAGCTGGTATCTCCATAACTACTGAAGGGAATTGATTGAAACTTTACACTCTTGTTGTCTGTGATTATCTTAGTTGATTGGCACAAGTCCCATAACTCTGATTTGCTTTTTCACATAAATATGCCCCTTTTTCAACTTAGAAATTCTTGGTTAAGTTTTTGCTTGTAAGCTGGTATCTCCATAACTACTGAAGGGAATGGATTGAAACTTCACACACTTGTTCTTTGTGATTATCTTAGATGATTTGCACAAGTCCCATAACTCTGATTTGCTTTTTTACATAATTATGCCCTTTTTTCAACTTAGAAATTCTTGGTTAAGTTTTTGCGTGTAAGCTGGTATTTCCATAACTACTGAAGGGAATGGATTGAAACTTCACACACTTGTTCTCTGTGATTATTTTAGATGATTTGCACAAGTCCCATAACTCTCATTTGCTTTTTTACATAATTATGCCCTTTTTTCAACTTAGAAATTCTTGGTTAAGTTTTTGCGTGTAAGCTGGTATTTCCATAACTACTGAAGGGAATGGATTGAAACTTCACACTCTTGTTGGCTGTGATTATCTTAGATGATTGGCACAAGTCTCATAACTCTGATTTGCTTTTTTGCATAATTATGCCCCTTTTTCGACTTAGAAATTCTTGGTTAAGTTTTTGCGTGTAAGCTGGTATCTCCATAACTACTGAAGGGAATGGATTGAAACTTCACACACTTGTTTTCTGTGATTAGCTTAGATGAATGGCACAAGTCCCATAACTCTGATTTGCTTTTTTGCATAATTATGCCCCTTTTTTGACTTAGAAATTCTTGGTTAAGTTTTTGCGTGTAAGCTGGTATCTCCATAACTACTGAAAGGATTGGATTGAAACTTCACACTCTTGTTGTCTGTGATTATCTAGTAAGATGATTGGCACAAGTCCCATAACTCTGATTTACTTTTTTGCATAATTATGCCCCTTTTTCAACTTAGAAATTCTAGGTAAATTTTTGCTTGTAAGCTGGTATCTCCATAACTACTGAAGGGTTTGTACCTTTTCGGACAATTTTATGTATTCATATAGGTAAGCATTATTATACTCAATGAAACACCCTTGTGACAACTTTTCGAATAGTCAAGCGTTACTGTCCTCCGACAGTTCTTGTTACAGAGTTATGGCCCTTTTCTGTATTGTCAAGCACACTGGACAGCTCTTGTTCTAAAATTCTTATTTTGATCAGTAATCATGTTGACCTTCTGGTTTGATATGAATAAAACTTGTTAAAACTTGTTGTTAATATAGATGTTTATTTAAATATAAACAGGCTTTTGGAGTCCTCTGAATAGCTGTGACCGAAAGTTAGATTAAAGTTTGTTAAACGTGATTTGTTTTATCATAGATCAGCAATGGTGGCAGGAGAAAGTTCGGCTGGAAGAAGAGAAGAAGAAAGCTGAGGAGGCCAAAAATGCTCCTGCTAAGGCACCAGCAGGTAAAGCTGGAGCTCCTGCCGCCAGAGGAGGTGCAGCTGCAGCAAGAGGTGCCCCAGCTGCCCGGGGCAGGGGTGCTCCTGCACCTGCGGCAAGAGGTTAGTTTTTTATAGATTATCCTAATGATGTATTTATATGTATGGTAATTTGATTTCTGTTTAGGGTATGTTTCTTTTAAAATTACTGTGTGGACATGTGTTGTTTTTTTTTGCATGTACCAAAATCCGCCAATGAAGCAAAGATGTTTCTTAATTTAATAGTACAGATATTGTTCTAATGTATATATATTATATAATGATATTAATAAAAAGGGAATTCTTACATGAAGGCTAGGTATTTTCTAAGTATAGGTGAATTGATAAAGGTAATTTTGATTTAACATTTTATTTCAGGGGCACCAGCAGCAAGAGGTGCAAAGGCAGCGCCAGCAGCACGAGGAGCACCGGCTAAGGTAAACATTTAGAAATTAAAGATTTTGATTGGCAGTAACAAACTTTGCCAAGTTTCACTAAGTTATCGAGAGCTAGATATTCTCTTCTATCAATACAACTGGTGTTTGATTCTTTTTTCTTTTGCATAATACATTTACACTGCCACCCTGTTATTACATGTCCCGGTATAAGGCTAACCTCAGTATAAGGCTTATAGGCCTTGGCTCCCAAAAAGAAAAGTTGTATTTTTTCACTGATCATAATTTTTTTTTTTCATGTTTGTGGATAACACACCATTTCCACTATAATGCTTGTTCAATGTGTCAGTCAAGTATAGTAAACAATTGTAATTAGGACACTCATGGGCTGATATTAAGGGTGTGTTTTGACCTGTTGATCAGTCAGGTTTAAAACTTGTTTTATATTTCACGCTGGTATTTAACATTTTACATATGAATTAGCAGTCAATGTTATGTCTGTTTGGTTTTTCATGTTTTACCAGTTTATGTTATAATAAAAAACGTTGATGACTTTCTTGTGTCAGGCTCCAGCAGCAAGAGGGGCACCAGCCGCTAGAGGAGCAGCAGCCAAGCCAGGAGCCAAAGCACCTGCACCAGCAGAACGTAAGAATATTTTTATTAAAAATGTTAAGTATTGATTATCTGAATTGAGATTTTTATCCCCCGCCGAAAAATTTCGGCGGAGGATATAGAAATAGTCTCCGTCCGTATGACCTTCCGTCCTTCGGTCCGTCCGTCCTTCCGTCCGACATTTTTGTCCGGAGCATATCTCTAAAAGTATTTGAGTTATCAACTTGAAACTTCATAGATGGATAAACCTCATTGAGGAGGAGTGCAGTGCACAAGAATGATAACTCTACCTTGTATGATTTTTGAGTTATTGCCCTTTGTTATTTTTCAAAATTGAATTTTGTCCAGAGCATAACTCAAAGCCTATGAGATATTAACATGAAACTTCATAGGTGCATAGATCTCACTCAGGAGGTGTGCAGTGCACAAGAATGATAACTCTACCTTTCATTAATTTTTGAGTTATTGCCCTTTGTTATTTTTCATACCTAATTTTTCACCTGAGTGGAGCATAACTCAAAAAGTGTTTGAGATATCAACATGAAATGTCATAGGTGGATAGATCTTATTGAGGAGGAATGTTGTGCGCAAGAATGATAACTCTTCCCTATACAATTTTTGAGTTATTGCCCTTCGTTTTTTTTCATGCTATTTTGTCCAGAGCTTATCTCAAAAAGTATTTGATGTATCAACTTGAAACTTCAAAGGTGGATAGATCTCATTGAGGAGGAGTGCAGTGCTTAAGAATGATAACTCTACCCTGCATTATTTTTGAGTGATTGCCCTTTGTTATTTTTCAAAATTAATTTTTGTCCAGAGCATAACTCAAAAAGCCTTTGAGATATCAAAATGAAACTTCATAGGTGCATAGATCTCACTCAGGAGGTGTGCACTGCACAAGAATGATAACTCTACCTTTTATAATTTTTGTCACAATAGGGACTACGCTGGGATACCAGGCCGACCACAATTGCTATCTAAAACAACCAACAACTCAGAACAGAAAAATATATACAAATTATTTACAGAAATGAATATTTATAAATGAAAAATGATTATATATGATAAACTACTATGAAAAGTCACTGCACAAACAAACACTATCAACGTATCTCAGTCTATTTCTCCCGTAAAGTTTCTGTCATGATGCTTCAATAAAGTGGTGGCGTTGTTGAACAAAATTCGTCACAATGGCGGGCGTCTTGTATAAAATCTTATCAAGCGTAACTGTACTTCCTACAGTGTTGGCACAGTTGATAGGATCCTGAACAAGGGCATGCGTCACCCTTTAGCCATGGACATACGTGTGGAGGGCCCGTGTCATCTTCGGGTGTGTCCTCAAATAAGAGACTACAAATTATAAAACATGGTAAGTTCCATGATAATCAAACATAAGGGTATAATAAAGTCCCTTGGAAAAGACTCGACCTTTGTCGGTTTCCAATAAAAATAACGTGCTTCTTTGAATAAACAAAATGTCCACTATAGTACACCATACATTCCGTGGAACAAAAATTCAATCACATCCGCATAATACTGCGTTGCAAATATATTCAAATATACGCCACATAATAACCACCAATAAATAAACGTCTTCCAAAATCATGCCACTGAAGATCCTTCTCTAGAGATACGTTAGTTTTGATACGTTGTATTTACTTATAACAAAAACTGATGATAAATGAAATGAAGTAAGATGATAACGTAAATTAAATTGATTGAAACAAATCATTACGATACTGCAGCATTTTACATAAAGTTACACAAATACGGTAGAACCATAATAAATTATTTATGAATAGATATATATATATCTATAAAATATTCATGGCTCCTATACAATTACAATATAATTAAAACTTCAATTAACATACATCAATTAACATGTCTCGGTATAAATTTGCAATAGCGAAACACTAGAATAAAAAGAGCTTTTAAAATTTAGAAAATTTAGAAAACAATAAATTACTGCCAAATAACTAAACCTGAATCAAATAAACTATAATTCTAATAGAAAATAGTATTTTACGAAATAGCAAAAATTTATGAAACAAAATCACTAGAAAATTAAATTTACCTTGTACAAGCTGTAATTTTATGACAAATAAAATTTGTCTGTCACCGTCATAGTGACCTGTATAACGTCCAGTGCATTGCAATATGTCACTTAAAATTTAGTCAATATATAGCAAACTACTGAGTACTGAGCGGGAAAACAGATCGTGCAAAACATGAAAAATCGATTTGCACGAAATAAAGCTTGGACGGCGGGAAAAATAGTTATGTAAAATAAAGGCCCGTCCTTCAAATACAGACATAATACATATATCTGGTTCATAAAACAAAAATGTAACTTTCTTATTACTGAAAGGATTTTTGTGAAATAAACGGCAAAATGTTTAAATTGATACATGGAAATTTATGCAAACCATAAAAATACTCTAAATAATAATTTCACCCGAAAACTCTAAATTGAACAAAAGATGATGCAATCTCACAACAATGAATATAGAGTAAAAATGAGGTTCGGCGTGAAAATATAATGCAATATTTTACAAACGTACTTTCACTTTGTGACAGTTATTGCCCTTTGTTCTTTTTCATACTTAATTTTTCAATTCAATTTGAGAATGATAACCTACCATGCATTATTTTTCAGTAATTGCCCTTTGTTATTTTCAGCCATCAGTATTCACATAGGTTTCAAATCTGTAATCACTATAGCCATCAGTTTTCATTACCAAAAGACCTCTTAAAATGGAATTATTCCGCTCTACTACATATACATTCTTCCAATGAGCAAACACATTCGGCGGGGGATGGCCATGTTGACATGGCTCTTGTTTGTCTTTAATTCTATTTTTGCTTCAAACCTTCTTACATTTAAAATTTTTTAAAGCAACATTGCTGAAATTAAGCTAAATTATCATGTTTTAAAATTTATTTATTTGCATTTTGCTTTTTTTCCCTATGAACTATATAGTGTTTTGTGTCATCACAAGGTAGTTATCTTCTATGACACGTATAAAGTATAGAAATATACACAGTAGGTTATATTATATGGGGAACAGATCGATTCTTTGATGTGTATGTAGATTTCCAAATACTGAAACTAAATACTGAAATTAAATGCTGAAACTAAATTTATTGAAGCATTTTTTAAAAAATTTTTTAGGTACAAATGCAATTTATGTTGTTGATTTCTTCTGTGCACAATGAACATAATAGTTGTCAATTGAAATTAAATCATATTGTTCAAACTTTTACAAATATCCTAGATATTAGAAGTATGATAACTTAAAAACTTGTTGAAAAACTTTAAAATAATAACAATATTTGTTTTGATATTTATTGCAGCCCCAAAACAGGAAACCCCGCCTCCAGTAGAGGAGACGCCTAAACCAGCAGCATCTGCAGGCCCCGCCCCAATCAACAGGAAGTCATATCATCCCCGTCTTGGATTGGCTAGAGCATACAGGGCTGCTGGTGAGATCCCAGATTCCCAGAAATATTACAATGAGGTCATCACAATGTCACCTGAGGTAAATCCACAGCCAGGCCATCTTTTATTTAATTGGAAGAATATTCTAAATTTGCAGATTGTGGTTGGTTTTTCATCTCATTTATGAAATGTAAAATTACATAAGGTTCACATGCATTCATACTTTTTTTGTACTTAATTATTGTTGCCAGTGTTGAGTACAAGATCCTAACTGTTTAGTGGGTTGTGTTTCCTTCACCTTGGTATTATACTTCATCATTTTATTTCTCTTTCTCAATACACATACATCAAGCCATGAATGTTATTGTGAAAAGTGTTGTAATTCTTTCAATGTTTTTTTTAGTGGAGGGGGAAGCAGGTTTGGTTGATTTTTGTTTTTTGTTTGTTTTTTGTTGTTGTTTTTTTTTGGGGGGGGGGGGGGCAATGAGGGGTTATCATCAATAAGTGAAAGTTTCTTGAATGTATTGGAGTCAGTAATTTACATTTACCGAAATTTGAAAGGACTAGATATTGATATAAAACACTACTTTTAATCTGTATTTTTTATCACATGTTCACATTTGCACATGGTGGGGATAAGAATCATGTATATGTTTGTTTTCATGTTAGATCATCTAACAAAGTACATTATGCAGTTTGTATTTTTATAACAGGTTCATGATGCCTACATTGAATTAGCAGAAATGTTGTTGAAAACTGATCCTCTGTCAGCGGTAGATGTGTATTGTAAATTCCCTGTGTCAGAAAAACCATCATTTGATGATGCCTACATATTTGGTGATATTGTTAGACTACTGATAAAAGCAGAGAAGTTTGATGATCCAAGACTTTGTCCTAACATGATAACATATGGCAAAATTCTCGGTTTAGGTAATTTTGCTACTAGTATTCCATTTTAATTTTTAATCTTCATAATATATAGGGGCCGAGAGGTTAAGGTCATTTACTTCAAATTACTTGGGTTTGAATCCCACTAAGGACTTTGGTTTCATTCACAAAGAAGCTTTCCAGTTAGCTTACAAAAGGTCAATTGTTCTACTTGGGTGCTGGCTTGTACTTGAAATAATGCACAAAGGGGCACCAGTAAAACTGAAAAGTCTCAGTATAACCTAAACAGTGTCGGTTAAAAAAGTCACAAGTATGGTTAATGAATTTTTTATTTGGGTCTATGTGTTTATTCTACTTACTATTGGATTAAGAATACTGTCACTTTTCTCATTGGGAGAAAGAAAACTACTCTTAAGAATGAATGTCAAAATTCACTTCTTAATGTCAACATTTGATGTTTTACTAGAGTGGCTGTTGGTAAAGTCTGTTAAGAAAATAATATTGATTTGCCATTCTCTTTCGACAAAACTTACAATATTTCTAGTAACAAGAACTGTTCTGTAAAATTATTATATCTACAAATGAATATACAAATGATTCATACAGTTTGGCAACATGCATCTAACTTTACCTAATTTAATTCACATAATTATTTACATAATTTTGATAAATGTATAATCAATTTAGAATAGATAAAAGATTTTTTTCCCTTATTGTCCTGCTGATAGGTTAATATGCATTTTTAAGTTTTAATCTTTTTTTTTTTGTATTATAGGAGCATTGGAGAAGTATGTGAAGATACTAGAAGAGAAATATAAAAATGAGACATTAAGGAAAGTGTATGCTGGTGTCAATGGCAGAGATGTTGATGACCCTGATATGCAGGCATTCTTCAAGTTTAAATGCTGGATATAGTTGAAACCATAGATAGAGACAATCTTCTTTCAGATTAGAAAGTTCTTCTTTGACAAATATATACAGTATTTAATAGTCAATGAATTGAAGAAGGAAAAGCAATGCCAAAGACCAATGTTTGTTTAACCAGAGACTGAAAATTTGACTGTTGGTTGTATAAAAGAGTTTCATCATTTATTACACATTCACATCACCCTTTCTTGCTTTCTAACTGGAATACATAAAGTCTTCACTTTACCTGACTATAACATTTGTCTTCTGCTTCTGGAATTCTCCCTTTTGATTGGGCTACTTTTCAAATATTACTAACAAGAGTTCACCAAAACTTGATAGTAAAGATATCTACCAAAAATAGCCCATATTAACTGTATGTTCCTTTCATTGTTTTCCCACCAACTTGAGACTCTTTTAGTGCCTCCTCATTCGTGTCAGCTGCCATTTGGTCGAGACTAAAATTATCGTAATTCCTGGCATTGGTGAAAAGTGACTTAGCTTTGTATTTATGTAATCAACTTTGAAGTTTGCATGTATGTGGGTATAAAAAAAAAAAGTAATCGTATGGGTACAAATGTTTACAAATTAATTTCTGTGTTAACAAAAGGGTAAATCTCATTACATGAAACAAATACACATAAGTATCTATTCACAATAGATAAATCATTATAGTTTTGCATGATGTAAAGATCATGTTAAGGTATTTTTAATGTATACATGTTTTCCTTGGTAATAAACTGAAAAAAAGGCAGCATAGCCATTTGTCTGTGATAGTATGTTTTTCTGTGATATATCAAATACTTGATGATGATTTTGTCATAGTGTATATATTATATTATGAAGTATTTCCAGGAAATCTGATTGACTTGATTACTATGCTGAATATTTGTTTCAAGACAATAAAGATTGAAATGGTCATTGTTGGTTTTTCCCTATTTTAGCAATTACTATGTTGTGATGTTTCTGCATATATAGGAAGTTTGACCAATGTTTAGATTGAGCCACAATCTAGCAATTTGAGGGTGACAAGTGTAAATCAATACATTTTTTGTCTGTATTAATATTTATACATATGTATTTAACAGTTATGTATGTCTCGAAAAGTATTCAAGATATCAACTTGAAGTTCCATAGGTGGATATATCTTGTTATTGAAATGTGCAATGCAGAAGAATGATAACTCCTTTTCATAATTTTTGAGCTATTGCCATTTGTTATTTTCTATGCTAAATTTTTGTACAGAACATTATACAAAAAGTTTTCTGGAATTGTCAACTTGAAATTTTCTATATGATTTGAGGAGCATAGCAGTGCCCATGTATAATAACTCTTCGTGTACTGCCCTTTGGTTGTTTTTCTTCCAAAGCTTTAGAAATATTAATAAGAAACTCCATTGGAGGATAAATTACAGAAAGAATACAGTTGATAAGAATGATAACACCCAACATCATAATTTGCACTTATTGCTGTTTGTTATTTTTTCACTAGTTTGCATTTTGTAAGGTCTATAACTCATCAGCTTGAAACTTCATGGGTGAATAGCTGTCCTATACCAGTCTTTGAAAAGTTAAATTAAAAATCTTAAGTTAGATAAATCCAGATTTGTGCAAAATTATAAAATCGTATGTTAACGAGAGATGTCAATATGGCACATATACCCCCTCTCACTTATCTTTAATGGATAGTAAGAAAAAGTTTTCATTATGAAACTCGCAGAGAAACTGGTTATCTAATGGTATGTGTGGAAACAGGACGTTTCGGCCCCAAACCAAATCGGCCCCAGTCGAAAAATCGGCCCCTGGACGTTTCGGCCCTTTTCCGCGAGACGTTTCGGCCCCAATATAGTATATTGCTTGATTGATTAACAACAGTTAATTATAATCTAGTTTTTATACAAAATGATTAAATATATATATTAATTGATTCATTTAATCATTGAAATGTTTTTAATATATCGGTTTAAAATACAGTACATATTATGGGGCCGATTTGGTAAAGGGCCGAAAATAGTATATTGCTTGATTGATTAACAACAGTTAATTTAATAACAATTAAACAATTATGACACTTTTATTCTTTAAATAATAATTTATTATCTTTTGATCTCTTGAACCATTTAGATGTACGTTAATGTTTTTAAAGGTGTAACAAACAATAAAGACAGGTTACTTAATTTATAAAACAAACCACTAAAACTTCTGGATTAAGAAAGTTAATTACAATTATTACTTAGAAAACATTATCTTTTGATCTTAATTAAACTATACGTATTTTTTTTTTCAAGGTGTAACTAATTAACTGTTTATAGCTTTATGCTAATTGGCGGTAAGTAATATCAAATAAAGTTTATGTTCTGTTCTGTTTGTATTAATAAAATGTCTATATATGTTGTAAATAATTGTTTGTTTGTGTATTATATTTTTTCAAATAAAGTTTATGTTCTGTTCTGTTTGTATTAATAAAATATTATCTATATATGTTGTAAATAATTGTTTGTTTGTGTATTATATTTTTTTAAATAAAGTTTCTGTTCTGTTCTGTTTGTATTAATAAAATATCTATATATGTTGTAAATAATTGATTGTTTGTGTATTATATTTTTTCAAATAAAGTGTATGTATGTTCTGTTCTGTTTGTATTGATTACTTTTCCCCTACTACTATTATAATCTAGTTTTTAAATATATATATTAATTGATTCATTTAATCATTGAAATGGTTTTAATATATCGGTTTAAAATACAGTACATATTATGGGGCCGATTTGGTAAAGGGCCGAAACGTCCGGGGCCGAAACGTCTTGGGTAGTTTGGGGCCGATACGTCTTAGGGCCGAAACGTCTCGTATGTGTTAATGAATAGGAAAAAAGGAAGAAATTATCTTTTAACGAGGTCAATATGATCTTTACCTTTGAGCGCTCGAACCAAAAATCAAACGGGATCATCTACTGCCAAAGACCAATGCTTCCATGAAGTTTGAGGGTTAAGGGCCCATTGGCAGTCAAGTTGTTGCTTGGGAACGGTTTTGAAATACAAGGTCAATGTGACCAAAACATTTGAGCCCTTGCACCTAAAATCAAAAGGGGGTCATTAACTGACCAAGACCAATACACCTGGGGGCGTCCGTAGCCGAGTGGTTAAGGTTGTTGACTTCAAACCACTTGCCCCTTTACTCTGTGGGTTCGAATCCCGACATGGACTTTGGATTCTTTCATGTGAGGAAGCTATCCAGCTAGCTTACGGAACGTCGGTGGTTCTACTCAGGTACCCGTTCATGCCTGAAATAATGCACGGAAGGGCACCTGAGGTCTTCTTCCACCAGTAAAGCTGGAACGTCGCGATATGACCTATACTGTGTCGATGTGACGTAAAACCCAAAACAAACAAACAAAAAACCAATACACCTATGAAGTTTGAAGACCGAGGGCCCATTGATTGTTGGGGAAACTGATATGACATTCCATGTCACCTTGTCCTTTGACCCTGCGATCCAAAAGTCAATAGGGTCATCTACTTCTCAAGACAAATGCATCTATAAAGTTTTAGGGTAACGGGTCCATGCGTTCTCAAGTTATGATCGGAAACGATGGAACGGACCGACAGACCGACATCATGTTGCAAAAAACAATATGCCCCTCTACTTTGGAGAGGTAATAATCATAATAATAAGGAACAATAATACCGAGGTTGTTGTAGAGGTCTAAAGTGAATATTAAAATTCTTCTTCTTATATTTCACAAGCAATGGTAAATAGACAGAAATAAAGAATCCATAAAGAAAGTCAAACAAGACAAAATTGAAAATGTTGCAGGCTCTGTTTAATTGAGCGTGTTCATGGACAGTAAAGGAAAGTGCACGTTACCGTCCAAGGCCACTAGCACCGGTTTAAGCACTAATAGGTAATGGTGAAATTTTGAATTTAGAAACATCAGCAGATGTGTTCATACGGCGGGTATCATGGAACCTTCAATGTGACATTCCATGAAAAGCGGCGTATGGTCACCGAGTAAAAGAATCCGCGTACCTTAAACGAGAAAACAATGGGCAGAACTAAATAAAATAGAAATTTTTGAAAGGGGATCAGAGGTTATAAAATTCTTATTCATCTGAAAGGGCCCGGCATTTTTAACTTACAATTTCATTGCTTACAAATGAAATAAAAAACGGTTAATACAGCTATCGCAAAAAAAATCTCTGAAACTTGTTAAATGACCTTGATGATATATCTAATATAATACACATACAAAAACGGGAAATAATGAAGTTCTTAAGAGTATTCTTGATATTCAAAGGTGTATAAAAAGAAAAAAATCACTTTGAGCGATCTTTTTATTCTATCATTTTTGTGAAGTTGGCGGCGTGGCGGCCAAAAATTTTAATGTTAATGAAATGTTATTTCATCAATAAAACGGCATTTAATGAAGTTCTTAAGACAATTCTTGTTATTTAAAGGGTATATAAATAAGAAAAAAAATACTTTGAGATTTTTTTATTTGATCATTTTTGTGAAGTTGGCGGTCTAGCGGCCTGAAATTTAAATGTTGTAAAAGTTTGGAAAAGAATTGAAAAAAAAGACTCTTAATTAACTTTTAAAGACATAACTTATCATAGAAGAAAAAAATCACATTTAGGAATTTTTTTTTTCTCTAGCGACCAGACAGTTGGAAATTTTACAGTTGTAGAAATGTTATAAATATGATAAAAACGGGACTTTATGAAGTTCTTAAGACTATTCTTGATACTTAAAAGGTATATAAAAAGAAAAAAAATCATGTTCAGAGAACTTTTGATTTTATCATTTCTGTGAAGTTGGCGGCCCAGCGGCCAAAAATTTTCAAATAATTTCAAAAATTGAATAACAATATGTTTGTTTGCTTGTTTGTTTGTTTCATTTTAAGCCTTTTCCCAACAGTATTTCAGTCATATAGGCGGGTAGTTTCCTAACCATCGTTCCTGGAAGGTTACACCAGTACTAGACTACCTTCCTCCGTGCTAAACTAACAAAGCATCTTCCGGGGATCGAACACACGCCAGAGAGGTAGTCATCGACTCTAACTCCTCGACCACGGAGACGGTACAATACAAAAACTGCTTTAGAACTTTATGTACATGATATTTCTCTTCAAAACTAAAAAAGTATATATGTACATATATAGTCAATTATTTATACAGAACATTTCAGATTTTAAATTATTTATTCTGCATTAAAGCTTTCTCATGAATAAAGCAAATCTTGATTCAATTCTGCTATGAACTCTGAATACGATTAAAAGTTCAAATAGACAAAATATAAATCATTTTTGCCAATAACCAAGAGTATGATTAGGAAAAAATTTGCTGTCAATTCTAGTCATAACCAAATATTAGTAAGCAAAATGTATTGTATGATTTAAAGATTGCATATGTAAACATTTCTTTTTCATATTTTGCAGATGTACATAACAGGTCTCCAATTATACTTTTAACTGTACAGAACATTTCAAATTGTAAATTATTTATTTTTGTCAAAGCTGTATCATGAACAAAGTCAATCTTGACTTCATCTTACTATGAATCCTGATATCAAGAGTACCCACCTTTAATTATTTAAGAGATAATATCTATCACTAACATTTTACCTAAATCTAGAACATGATATTTATATAACATGTAAGTACATAAAAATATGCAAAAAAATGTCCTCTTAAATGTTAGTTGAAACATTTTGATTAGCAAGAAACAGTTGCAAAGAAAGTAATATTGACATACCTGATGCCAATCATTTGAGTATCATGCTAGCTGCTCAAGTTTCCATTCCACCATGCATGTAGTTAGAATAATAAATCCCAAAGTTTAAACACGTGATTTTTAACTTTTCACAATACGTTCTTTTAGCTCGACTTTTTTTTTTTGAAAAAAGTAGAGGTATTGCTATAGTCGCGGCGGCGTT